TGGGTATTGGAGGGATGCCCGTCTCTCATCCCGTTTCTTCTAATGATAGCCTGTAAATATCGATAGTTGTATTATAATTTTAGGTTTCCCTTGTAGAAATCGAGGCTAGCACATCAGATTTGTAGGTCTCGCTTGTAATTATTTTCAAAGATATAGAAATTCTTTCAAAAAAATTGAACACCAAATGAGAAATTGACGGTCAATTTGTCTTATTACGATTTTATCATCCATGCACGTAGTACAAACTAGTTCTATTCGTTTATCTTGTTCATTGTTGGGATAAACTTAAATTTTAGGAGTTTATTAATAATTTTGTTTGAGTCTTGTTTGAGTCTAGTAATATTTATTTTTATTTTGATTGAGATAAAATAGGAATGGGTAGTTTTGATTTTCTATTTATTTAGGTAGAGTATTATTTTATTTTGTTGATATAAGATAGAAATAAATTAAGTAGTTATTTTTATTTTGAGTGAGTTAATATTTTGTTCTTAGTATCTATTATTTGTACTTAGCCAAGACCTATTTACACCTTGTTGGATATAGTGAAAACTATTTATGAGATTAATCTCCCTTGTGTTGAATATACACATAGGGTCCTCTATTTATAATAGAAGAAATATGAACTCAGCCCAAAATACAAATAAGAAATAATAACAAACTAACTAAAGATAAAAGATAAATATAAAATAAAGATAATATATCTAACACTCTCTTTTAGCTAGTACATACATATGTACTAAGCTTGTTACTAATATAATTCATCAAGTCTTAGTGAAAATATCTGATTCTGCACTTGAGTGACACCAAATTGTTAATGATTTGCAAGACGACATAGAAGATGAAATACTAACCCAAAAGACTCCCCTTAGCAACAAATCTGGGAGGTTGCTCCATGTAAATCTCTTTTTGCAAATCGTCGTTGAGGAATGTCACCAGTGGATAAATAGGTAATTGTTGAATAGCTACCACGACTATAAATAAACTAACAATAATCATCTTTTCCATGAGAAAAAAAAGCATATATGTATGGATCAAACGCAATGGTGACAAAAGAGAGGTCAGAAGAGACAACAACAAAAGAAGTCATGGATGAACAGGAGAGAGAAACTATAAAAATCAAAGATTCTCCAATCAAGACACCTGAAAAGGGAAAAAGAGCAACTTCGATGCTTTGAATAGCTGCCTTAGAAGAGACGGGACGTGCAACAACACACGATGAACCTGACAATGGAAAACGAGCGACATTGACACTCTGAATTACTACTAGACATGTCACAATGCACAACAAGAAAGGAAGCAAATCCATAACTTAAAAAGGTGTTGAGAGCGCGTATGAGCTCCGATGAAGGCGTCATTAATGACATGGTGGTCGCTTGGCCGAGACGATCAAAACCATGTGATCATCGGTCAAAACTAGAACTCCGATAGTGACAGCGGTAGCCGATGACACTGTCGGTAGCGGTAGATGGAACTACCGCTGGCAACGGCGAGTGTAGTGGTAAAGACAACAAGAATTTTTTTCTCAAAAAAACCTTAGGCTCTAGATACCATGTTGAATATAGTGAAAACTACATATGAGATTAATCTCCCTTGTGTTGAATATACACATAGGGTCCTTTATTTATAATAGAAGAAATTGGGTTACAAATAACAAATAATAACAAACAAACTAAATATAAAAGATAAATATAAAATAAAGATAATATATCTAATACACCTATTTAAAAGCTGCAATGTTCAATAAAAATTACCACAGTGATTTAGAGTTCAAATACTCATTTGTGTGTCACATTTATTTTCTACAAAGTGGTATCAGAACTTTATGCCCTGAGTACTGAGAGAGAAAAATAAAAGAGAGAGGAGAGTCAAACATGGTGAGGGAAATAATAAATGCTTGACTGTTTTTTGAGAGAGGTGACAAAGGTTGTCAATGGAACGAGTGTGTCAAAACTAACGAAAAAACCAACTATGATAATTTGTGTCTACAAATGAAGGTGTTGTTGAGATCCCATGACATTTGGGATATGGTGGAAGACGGATACCATGAACCCGATGGGGGCAAACATTAGATGATGACACAGATGACCGCGTTGAAGAAATCATGTGCAAAAGATGGGTCAACAATGTATTTTCTCTACAATGCAGTAGATGAGTTAGGATTTGAAAAAATAGCAAATGTCGCATCAACAAAGGAAGCCTGAGATATATTGAAGGTTGCATATAAAGGTAACAACTGTGTCAGACAAGTCTAAATACAAACTTTTAGAGGGGAGTTTGAACAGTTTAAGATAGGGTCCAAAGAGCAGGTAACTTAGTACATAACTCGGGTGGAGAAGATGGCCAACCAACTGGGTAGGAATGGAGAACAAATGCCACCTAGCTAGGTTGTGGAAAAAAAATTGAGATCCTTCAAAAAAGATTTTGAAAGTATCATCTACACCATCGTCAAATCGAAAGTTTTGTTCATTCTCACAGTAGATGAACTTGCTGGGACATTAGAAGCCCACGAACAAAGGATAAATAGTTGTGATGATCAGGTTGAGTCTCTCAATCTAGCACTACATGCATAGTTTGACTCGAATAAAACTCGGATTACTAAAAACCAAGGTCCTAGAGGTAGAGGATGACGAGGCTGAGGTGGACGTGACCGAGGTAATTTTGAGGATGATAGTGAAGAAGGACAAAGGAAAGGCTCAGGAGATCAATTAGGAGTGGAATGTTAGTGTGCCAAGCATGACCACTATGCAAACGAGTGCAAATCGAGAAAGTGTTACAACTATTGTAAGGTTGGCCACATTGTAAAGTATCTCAAGGTTGAGACAAAGGGGGAGACAAATCTCTTTACTCAAGATGCAGTAGAAGAGTGTGGAATCTTGTTGATGGCAAAGAGCTTAGATGTAGTGGACATGGAGAGCTCGGTCTCAACAATGGATGAAGTGATCTCGATAAATGATGGAGAAGGAAAACCTTGAGAATAAACTCAGACAAAAAGATGAAGAGATTATGCAAATAGGGAGACTTCTAGATGAAGCTAATAAGATTATAAATAAACAGATGACTGAGCTTGAGAAGCGAAGAAGACAACAGTTGACAAGAAGGAAGAAGCATCTAGTGTTCTTAAACCAAATTAAAACGGAAAAGAGGAAGATGTTGAGAAGAACCAGGGTTTGGAAAGCTTGGATACTAAGATAGCAAAAAATATGATGAGTAAAATTTCGGACAAGATGAAAAAGCCAACCAATGTTGTTGAGAGGTTAGCCAAGATTATTGAGAAATCACCTAAAACCATAAATGAGTTGGTCGAGGTTTTTAAGAAGTTGGGTAGAACAAAGAACAATTCGACCAAATCAATAAAGGATTCAATTAAGGTGAAATACAACAACATGGCTAAATGAAAAAGATGAAGAATCCAAATTTGGTTGAAAGAAGCAAGCTTGATGTGAGGTGATGCACATGAAAAGCCTAATAGAGATAAAAAATTAAAGTGTATAGAAAAGTTTTGTTTGGATAAATTTAAATTTTAAAAGTTTATTAGGAATTTTGCTTGAGTCTTATTTTATAAATTTCAGTATAGTAATATTTATTTTAATTTTGATAAAGATAAAATAGATAGGGGTAATTATGATTTTCCATTTATTTAAATACAATATTATTTTATTTTGTTGATATAGAGATAAATTAAATAATTATTTTTATTTTAAGTCCATTAATATTTTATTTTTAGTTTTTATTATTTATATTTAACACAAACCTTATTTACGATTATTTAAATTCGATAAAATTATCAGTGATTTAGAGTTAAATACTGGTTTGTGTGTCACGTTTATTTTCTACATTTACGAACATTGAGAATAAACCAAGTGTTTTGATACCAAGATCTTCGAAATTCGTTGGAAAAGCTCGTTAGTGAGCTAGGGTAAAAAGGAATTTAGATTTTCTATTGCATTTTTCTTTATTGTTTATCTGTTTTAAAATATACTGATGGATTATTTTGAAGTTCAAAAATATATTTAAAAGAATTTTAAAGTATCAAAATAATATGTTTTTAATACTCGGCAAAGGACAACATTAAACAATCCAACAGAGAAATTAGACTCTAAATTAACTATGTTTTTAGTTTTTGATTTAAAGTTAAAATTTATTTATGTTTAAAATTTTAATATATTTTTATCTTCAAATTTAAAACGAATAAATATATCTATTTTTAATTTAATTATATTAAATTTTATTTTATGTGTTTTAACTTATATTGTAGGAACATAGATAATGTAGGAATATGTCAAATAATTATCAAATATTAACATTAGACGTATTTGATAAATCAAAATAATTTAAGATAATTAAATTAAAAAGACTATATTCAGAATCAAAATATATCAAAAATATATACGTAAAAATTAAATTCAGGGAGATACTTAACCCATTATAAATTATTCATTCATGTGTGATTCAGTTATAAAAAGTTTGTGACGGTGACCACCGGAATTAGGATGAGCTACCGCCAAGGTTGGGTTGCACTAGTCGAGGCGCACAAGATCCAAGCATCGAAGGATAAAATTTAAACGGTGGACGGCAACCAACCAACGACATAGACAGTGACCAATTAACAATTTCTTTGTCAAAAAGAGACAAACAAAGCGGAATCGACCCTACCAACTTTAGAAAATTATAAAAGAATACACATAATGAATTTGACAGAGCTTAATCACTCCTCTCACATCTTCTCATACTTGTATTAATAGAATTATGATACAATGAGTATAGAGAAGAGCAAAGATCAAACTGCAATCCTATGTACAAAGATAGGTACAGCTCATATAGCAGTTTTCCAACATAACTATATCTTACCTATGTTTAATACTTAATTCTAACAATTGTAAAGATGAAAAGGTAACAAGAATACTTAATTCTAACAATTGTAAAGATAAAAAGGTAACAAGACACCCAATAGCAATATCATATGTTGATTCAGTAAAATGTGCAAGAGGAATTTCATTAAAGATAGAAAAATTCCCTAGCAGATTAGCCTTTGTTATCAAGGATATAGAGTATTACTTTCTTAGCATCCTTGTATTCAAATCAACTAAAAGATAAATCATACTAAACAAGTCAAGGCAGAAGTTTACCACTTTTGCTCTTAGACGGCTTGATACTCCTACTAGCAACAGATGAGGAAAAGGGCCTTTTTGCAGAAACTTTTGTCACAGTGTCTTCCTTCTTTGTAGATATCAAAGATGAGTAAAGAATAGCATCTACAGCTTCACGCTGCTGTTTCCTTTTTGAAACTTCATCAACTTTAATTTTATTAGAAGCAGTACCTTGATCAACTGCATCTTTCTCTTTGTGACTGCCTTTCATTGAGGAAACAGAAATTTCAGTAGAACTACTCCTATTCCCTCCAGAATGCAAAGTTGGTCTTTTTGATACCTTTTGCCCACCACTTGCCTCTTCCACTGGAAAGTCTAAATTGTTCCTTGATTGTTGAAATTTTAATTGTCTTTTACCCAATGTTTTATTTCCCATATCCTTAGTAATGGAGAAATGCTCATCTTCAGATTTCCTTCCCTTACATGGAGCATATTTTCCCAAAGCTGAAGAAGACTTCTCATCCCCATTACCCTTATTCCTGTCCCAGACTTCAGAGGCAACACGTTTCTTTTTCATTTCAACAGTATCCTTTCCATGAAGCAAAATTTTGTTTATAGTCTGGTCACTATCCTTAACCTTCTTCTCATGTTTCAATGGTCTTGCGTGATTATCAAAATTTTCAACAGAGCAATTATTTTTATCTGTTTTGAACATTGAATGATATGGCATCTTAGCCCTCATTATCAAGTTTCTTTTTTCAGCATCCTTCACAAGAGCAGCCCAGTTCTGGTTAGTCTGTAAAGTTCTAGCATTACCCAAAATCCAAAGTGATAACTTGGCCCTTGTCAAGGCAACATTCATCCGTCTCACATCAGCAACAAATCCAATAGAGTTTGAGTTTACTACGGAAGTAGTAACACCTGAATGAGCTGCTCTTACAGTAGAAAGTAACAATATATCCACCTCCCTACCTTGAAAACCATCCACAGTGTTAAATTCAATATCCGCTGCACTCAAAGATCCAAAAGCATTAAGAAACCGAGATCGCAGAAGGGAAAGTTGAGACTTGTATGGAGTAATCACACCAATTCTTCCACCAACAAATTCAGCAGGGTACCTTCAGAGACATTCGTAATTTCGTGAGTAAGCATCATGATAAGCTGAAAGTAAGAGAAACAGAAAGTAAATTTAACCTTTTCTTGAAAAGCTTTAGTACTTCAACCGCAGCATCAGCTTCATGCTCATTACAAAGTGACATTACACCAGAACTTTTACCACGAACCTCCTGGCCATCAATGATATCATAAAACACATATGGCCCAAGACCATTGATTTGATGAAATGGTGCTGATTTGTTAGACATTTGGCTTCCATTCAGTAATTTGTTGTCATAGAAATGCAATGATGGGAACTTGCAAATCTCTGGATGCATCCTATACTGCCATTGTGAGAAAAAAAATCAAAAAGGGATTCAGCTTTGAATCATAGAACAGGACAATGTAAACATAAAAACACACCATGCCTACCAAAACACAAATAGAGAGGACTGCTTGCAATGGTGTGATTGTAGATACATAAGTGCTCTTATTTATAATGAAAAAGAAACACTAATAAAGAATAAAATCAATACATGATGGAAAATATTTGATGAGAAATTACCCACTCAAATCAAATCATATCTCCTATTTAATGCAATCAAATCATATATGTCACCCGAACCATGTTTGTTACATATGTTATCAACACATAATAGGTGGTGGGATACTATCCTGATTACATTTCCTATGAGACTTTTTAGGATGGATATCAATTACCTTTTGATAGGTTTGTCCCTTAAGTGGGTTTGGTTGGATCCTCCCACTTTTTTTAATGTTTTCTTTTTTCTTATGGTATTTCAGCATGCTGCAGATAATTGGTGTAACTTGGTGTGTAACCTAGTTGAGATTAAAAGTTATATAGTGATGTCATAGCATACTTACCTTTATGAGAAACAAAAGTTGATCACGGGAATTATCAAAGTCTGTGTTGATTTCTCTTGAGACCACCTTCTCTCTCACAAAGAGACACTCAATCCCTATGTGTTTGGTTATCTCTGTGTTTGGTTGACTCATGGAAGACTGGACCTGACAAACTATGAATAGGGCTTTGATTGTCTCATGAATTTAGTATGCTTCCACATTTTAACTGTTAGAAGCCATACAATCTCACAAGCATCTACTGCCATGGTTTTAGCGGATAATATGAGTTTCCCTTTGTATCTAGAATATTCTGTTGTTTGTTGTGAGATGTCACAATTTATTATCTATTGTTTCAGCTGTCATTGTTTGTTATCCATCTACACACATTTCTATCCTATGGGTAGCTTCTATAAATGCTCTCATGAGTTTTTGTTTTCGGTGGGTTGACGTAATGAAAAACTCCATTTACAATTAGTCTTCTACTAAGATTAATAGCACTACAAAAGTTTCATCTAACACAAGAAAACAAATTCCATGTGGAAATGGCTACCAAATAATGCAAAAATAAATGAGCATTTGTTACAAATAGCTAAAGCACTCATCACTTAAACCTATCCAAAAATAAGTTTTCTTGAATCTTCTTGTGCATCTCTCATCAATCCACATTCCTTCATGTCAAAATATTTAATAAGTTTCATATTTTATTCCTATGGTTTGGGTATATATTGGTTTTATTACTAGCATATCAATCCCACAATCTCAGGAATTTGTTTCCTAGAATAGCTTGTGCTTATTTCCTAAATTATTTAATCAATGTATGTATGTATATGTGTGTGTATATATGTGTGTATATATATATATACATATGCATATATGTATATTATTGTTAGGTACAAAAAAAGTCCCACATCAAATAAAACAAGAGATGAACATGTGTTTATATACACATGTCCATTTCTTGTTTTATCTGATGTGGGACTTTGTTTGTACCTAACAATCCTCCCTTAAGCAAAGGACTATGGTTCTCCTACCTCCACCTCCCCTACAACGGAAGTCTTTTCTTATCCTCGAGTACACCATGGTCACCACTTCTCTTTAATCCATGGTCAAACACTGAGCATCTCTTGCTCTCCACCTCTCATGATACATCTGGCTATCTACCACTGGCCACCTACCAAGGCTTGACCTTATCATGGAGGGACGTACTCGTCTGAACCCGGTCACCAGACCTGAACCATGAGCTCTCATACCATTGTTAGGCCTATCAAGGAGGAGGTTCAACGGGGAGATACAAACACTAATGAGATATGAGTCCAATCATATAAGGGATTGACACCATTCTCTACCCAAAATCTTAAGGCAATGGGTTGATGGGTCTTTCATCTTTATATAGTGCTCTACTTTCTCATTTCTATCCAATGTGGGACTTAGACTTATACTTGGATTCCCAACAATATCCCCCTCCAGGGTGAGTCCCTTTCACATTGGTACACTCCCCCACCAACGGAAGCATTCCCAACCAACCACAACCACGAGTACCCCTTCGTACCGCCGTTCATCTTAACAGGACACGCTTACCTGGAACCCTTCGACAAAAAGACTTTCGATACAGGGACAATTGTACTTGCCTAAGCCGGTATATGTATATGCATATGCATATGGATATGTATATGCATATGGATATGTATATGCATATGCATATGTATATGCATATATGCATATGCATATGCATATGTATATGCATATATGCATATGCATATGGATATGTATATGCATATGCATATGGATATGTATATGCATATGGATATGTATATGCATATGCATATGCATATGTATATGTATATGTATGTGATTAACTAGAATAAGAGAGAAATTATTTTCTTCTAAACTTGAGACTTAATAAGAAATAGTGTTGCTTCTCACCATTGTCTAAATTGTTTGATCAACAATAAAAAGGTAGTTTTCCTACTAGTTAAGGTCAGCTACAAGGATCAAAGAACACCTATGTATTCTGTCAAAAACAAATTATAAATGATTGCTCTCAGATCCATCAAAATCTATGGCATAGAATGAAGCATTGAACTAACAGTTTCTAAAGTATATTTTACTCATCTAAGCACATACAATGTACCTGTTCCGAAAGCATAATAACAGGATGCCCAGCCTTTTGTAAGCGTTCAAACATGCTACACTCATAAAGAAATTTGCTGGCAACATTTGAGAGGACAGTTGCAGGAAGCTGCTTTGGGTCACCAACCTTGAATAAATTACAAAGGTCAGTTTTACTATTTACCCTACATCAGTATAAGTTTAAAAGATTTTGGTTAGTACTCTTACCATAATGCATTTGGTTCCACTTGACTTTAAAAGCTGAAGAGGAATCAGAGTAGCTGGCTCAAGAGCCTGCAGCAACAAAAAAAGATCAGAAGGTAAATATAGTTAACTAGAGGATTGTAGATAAATTATTTATAGCAGAACAAAGATGTATATACTTGGGCAGCTTCATCAATTACAACAGCATCGAAAAGGGTATGTTCAGATGTCCCCCCAAACTTGGAGTTTAACATTCTCTCAGAGCACACCCCATAAAGATCCCCACCACAGCCACTCAATGTAGTTACCACTATTTCAGCTTCCTTTAGTATAGCCTTCCGCAACTTATTCCTAAGAGCCTTGGTTTCTTCATTGGCTTTCTTCTCCTGAGTCTGAACACTACAAAGATCTTTATATATTTGTCGTTTTTTATCATACAGTTTCCGTAACTCCATTTCAATTTCTGTCTCTGACATTTCCTTCTCATTTGTCTTAAGAGAATCATTATACAGATGACTTTTAACATTAGAATTCTGATCCTTTGAGTTAGCACGCTTGGCTTCGTAAAACCTAATAGAATCAACTAGTTTCTCTAATTTAGACCGCAGCATGGCTGATGAATCTACCCCTAAATCACTATTCACAACATTTGAATGCATCCTCTCTTCAACTACACGTTGATCAACTAATGTATCAATAAAGAATGGCAATGAGTTTGAATGAACTGTTTTTGCATTTCCAACCCTCACGAGATAAGGCTTGTACATTTTCCCATCACTGCCATAAAGGCCATGGCTAGAAATTCTTGCCACCAACTCATCCACTGCAGCATTAGATTGAGCACAGATAAGCACTCTCTGTCTCACATAATTTCCAAAAGATGTTGAAGAATTTTGCATATCATTGGCCAACTGTCTGGCCAATGCTGCATCTTGCCATGCCCTTGCAATGGCAGCATTCTGACTAACCTTCGGTCTTGAGTATGTAGAAGAATTTTGGTACAAGTTTTCACCTGAAGGATTTTTTAGACAACTCATCTTTGGTTGAGAAGCTAGAAGAGCACTGACAATTGCAACAATAGTCCGAGTCTTCCCAGTTCCTATATTTACATCAGCATACATGCAAATCAACAATTTTAAAAGTTTAAGCAGAAAAAATGACATAATCTTCATGGTTTAAGGATAGATCGAAGTGGATCAACTACCTGGAGGACCCTGAATTAGACATAATTCAATAGTCTTTTTTGCTTTGGCCCTTCCAATAGCAACACTTATTGCTTGAAGTTGACTGACATTAAATGTTGACCTCAGAGTTTGCTGCAATGACTGGCACAAATTGGTGAGATCTACCTCTTTACATTCGTTGAAACAAAAGGAATTGTTGACAGGATTCAAAATGAGAGGAAGCAAAGGGATGTCTTTTATTGATGACAGTGCATGAAATTCTCGCATTTGTGGGGTAATGCTCATTATACGACAAACATGCCATTTACTTCGTTCAGTGAGATTCCTTCTAGCTTGATTTAATCGTAAAGAACCATTTTGAAAATAGAATTTGATGAGAATAATACTTGAACCTCTTTTATTGTCTTTCTCACGCCTTTCAACCTGCAAAACACAGACAGCTTTAACATAACAGATTTATCTGCACTACTTCAGGTTTGGTGCATAAGTGGCTTGAGGTTAGCTTTTGCCACATTGGGGAACCAGCACAAATTTTGGTGCATAAGTGGCTTTAAGGTTTAATGTAAACAGTTGGCAGGCTTCAAAAATCAAATTAACATTCGATGTTACTTGCCACTAAAACAGGATAAAAAGAAATTTCTGATGAAGGTTGAAAAAGGAGCAAATTAAGATAATAGCAGGAAAATTCAGAGTTCAACCATCTTATGGTCTATTGGATATTGCAATTTTCAAGCATGCTCAAGTATAGAATTAGCAATCAATTATCAGCAAAAGGGACAGCAGGCTTACCAATCATGAGCTCGCAAATCTTCATACTCAACAAAACACAATATGATATTTAAGTGGCTCAGCATGCTGATGATATTATTGAAAACTAGGTACAAGACACTAGGAATTAAGCCTGTTTGAGTTGGTTGAAAATAAGAAAGCCAAATTGGTAGATATTGAAAGCTTTTTAAACTTTTTCAATATGAATTAAGATAGAAGTGGAAAAAATATGAGTTGGACAACAAAAGTGTTACATTATGCTTTCAAGTTTAGTATGGAGTAGTTTTCCTTAATTTTCAATATTCACATTTTCCACCCACTCAAGCATGCATAGCTTAAAACAATGAATTGTAAGACATTATAGGCATTGGAGAAAAATATTTGGACGATAGCAATCACACATATGAACATTAATGAAGGCATACCTTTCCAACCATATGAACATCATGAGAAGATTTTTTAGGAGGATCTTTTGTTAGCAAAAGAAAGTCATTTTCAGCAAAGCTCCTACATTTTGCAGAATCACCATCATCATGGACACAGCGTACAATATGGAAATCATCAATTCTCTCAATTGACATCACAGAAAGAACTCCATAAAGCATATCCTCCCATGAAGACATTTCAAGAAAAGAATTTTGTAGCTGTGCTTTGAACTCCTCCAAAACTAATGGCTGAAATATCTCAACATACTGTTCAGGAGATTGAAAATATACAGGAACTTCCTTTAATTTGTTAACAGTTTGGTTTTCATCTTTTCTCTTGGATGACAATCCAATTGTTGCAAAATAATCTATCTCAAGAATAGCTTTATACCAATCATCCAACCTTGGTGGCCTGAATCTTTTCATTGGATCCTCCAATTTACGAAGATAACTAGATTTGTTTTCAAAGGGTGTTTTGAGTTGAATAACTTGTCTTTTCAAAATTGTAGGCTTTGGTACATGCAACTGGACACGTCCCACAGATTTTAATGCAGTCTCTAGGGGATCACCATCTGCACCTTGATCACATAACGTTTTACTACAAGTACTTGACACAGTGTCAACAGTTTTGGGAGCCATGCTGCCACGAGTTTTATTCAAATTTTTAGCATTGGCACCTTCATCCGAAAGCTTTGTCAAATTGTCCATATCCTTGGATTTTGAACTTGCTTCTTTCCTACAACTGTCTGAGCCTTCTGAATCAATAAACGAAGTCACCACAGGCTTATCATTTAAATTACCAAAACTGGCCTTTTTCTGGAAGGACTCCTTCCTTTTCTTCAAAGTTTTAATGAATGAAACATTCTGGTTTGAAGGGTCAGCAGCTGGTAAGCTAGTACCAAAATCATGGGGCACAATATTGCCATCAGAAATGTGATGAACATCATCACCAACTGATAAAATGTCTTTCTTGGAAGAAACTTTTGGTTCCACTTCATCATCGGAAAGAATAATTACACTGTTAGTGCTTTTGTTGCCAATCACATTTTTAGAGTCCAGATTTTGTAAGTCTATATACTCCATGGATGAAGAATGAACATCTGAAGTAAAACAGCCCTTCTCAAATGGCAATCTTCCAGATACCAATGATTCAGAGTTCACGGTTTCCTCCTTAGAGTTATGAGATCCTACCCTAGATAAAGAAACGGACAGGCATGACAGTTGTTCTGTCAATTCTTCCAAAGTATAACCATCTAAATTGACAATGCAAAACATTAATAAATATATTAATGTCATAGAACTCACAGAATCATGAAGGGAAAATTAACTACAGAAATTAAACTCACCATTCAAAATAAGATTTTCTATGGTCATGATTGTTGACAGAGAAGTTTTATCACAAGAAGCTTTCAGCTGATTCAGGATATCAGTAACAGCACGCTTCCAATATACAATTACAACTTTAAGTGATGACTTCCCCCATTCCATAAGATCATGAAGCCATTTGAAATTCAATTTATTTTGTACAAGCATTGTGAGATTCCCCATCTCTTTATCACCAGATAGACAAAGTTCATTGACAAGAACAGGGAGAATCTCAAGTAATCGTACACAAGTCATCTGAAAAAACAAGCAATTATATTGTTCAGAGTTGTACTTATATTTATTTAAACTTAAACTTTAAATAACAATAATAGAATCTAGTAAAGAAAAAAATAAAAAACTATTGTTAACAGTTGTTAGGAAATTTATTTTAAATTTATATTTCAAATAAGGACTTTAGATAGTTAAGATCAAGATTTGATTATTCAAATCTCATTTGATTCTCCTTTACTTTCTCCCTTTTTTATTTTGTAATCACTAATCAGGGCAGTTAGGGTTTCTCCTGACCATCTTTGTCTATATAACTCATGTAATTTTGATCAATCCATACAAAGAAAAAGGTTAAACCCCTTCGGAAGTCCTTATTTATGTGGGTTTTTCCCAGTTAGATCCTCGTCTTATATCGGTTTTGCCAATTTAGTCCTTTATAATGAAAATTTGACTCAATTGGGACCCTACCGTTAAACTGGCTTAACAGGGTTAAGTTTTTGATGACCTATGATGTTGACGTGGACAGTTTTTGAATCGTGGCTTGCACAGACCCTTATATGTGGCATTTGACAACATTTAACATTTTAAAAAGGTTAAACCCGTTCGGAGGTCCCTATTTTCGTGGGGTTGTCCTAGTTATGATCCCGTCTTTTAAGTTTTGCCAATTAAGTCCTTAATATGGAAAAATTGAGTCCATCAACTTAACAGGGTTAAGTTTTTGCTTACCTGTGAGGGTGACGTGGATAATTTTGGAGACGTGGTGTGCACATACCTTTATACGTGGCTTTTTATTAATAAAACCCTTGTACGTGGCATTTTCTAAATGAGACATTTAAAAAAATTGGGGTTTTTCTAAAAGATTTTAAAATTAGGGTTAATTGAAATTTGAATTGAGAAGAGGAAATCTGAAGCTTCAAATTGGCAGGACGTCAACCATGGAAGCATCTTCGTTTTGCGTTCTTCATCAAGCCCAAATTCACCTGCAAACAGAAACCAACCCAAAATCGCGCCTCCGCATTAATTTATAGGGTTTAGGGTTTAGCGCCACCTCTCTAGAGAAAGAAGATATTTCCTTTTCTATTGTTCTTTTTTAGTGCCAAACAGAACTCCAAAGCTCCATGGATCATCAATTCTAGAGCTACAAGCCAAATGAAAAATTGCTTAAAAGAGTTCTCTGCATAAAGTCTTTGCACAGGTTTCATACATAATAGGATAAGAATTGCAAGTGGTACCTTTTCTACTATAGCATGTCCTAGTTCCATTCTATATCTAAACCTCTAACTCTTTGAGAGACATCCGTTATTGCCCTAAAGAAGAGAGACCTAACACTATTGATGCCAATGCTAACCACCAATGGTTCGTGCACAGGAGCTCACCAAGATGGGACTTGGAGCGGCTGAAGCTGTCAATTGACCTGTTAATCCGGGAGAAGGAATTAGAGAGAGGACAAATGCAACTGCAGGCACCATGCAGTTCATTGCTATTGGAGAGATCTTGAGTGTCCTGGATTACGAGAATGATAGGCTAGAGGTCAATCTAGCTTTCGGGTTGGAAATGTATGATGGAACTATGGCAAGAACACACCTAGGTGCCACTGGGTCTATATTATCCATCCTTCGACAACTTTGGATGAGTCTTAGAGTTGGGATTGACATGGTTAATGCCAAGTCGGGCATTCAATTGTTGTGAGTTAATGTTCCTTCTGATGCTGGAACTTACTTTGTATCCGTAGAGAATGTAAGGAAGTTCCCTACCACTAAAATGCTTGTATTCAGTGGCTACTTTATGATGTTGTTCTTTAAAAATGTATTGAATAATAACTATGACCAGCTTTTTACCAAGAGAATAGCAACTATGAGAGCTCTGGTAGGAATACCAAGAAATCAATAACTATTATTAGTGTTTCCATTATAGAGCGAGCTGACGCAGTTAGGACATTCCTAGGAGCTAACACGAGTTTTTGCAGATCTGTAATTGAATACTTGATTGAACAAAAGCACAGGGGTGACCAAACGGGCAAACTTGTTGATTATGTGCTTGATATAATATCATGGACTGGGATGAGCGCATACAAATCGGTCTATGAGTGTTTAATGCTAATAGACTCGCCAGTATTTGTACAGGAGACGGTAAAGGCTAAAACATTAGCTCTTGTGGAAGTGGTAGAATTTTTAGCAAAAAGCCAATATCCACATTTCTGCATGTATTTAGGTTATCCTAAAGAGGTAAGTTGAAGAGGTCACGGTTTCCCATTATATTGTCATTAGCCTGAGTTGTGAAACAAAGAACTAGGGGTAGGTTATCTAACACTCAACCCCCTACCTTAGACGTAATGATTACATAAATTTACTAATTATTTCAACACTTTCCCTCATGCTATGAGCAACCTTCAACCCATGACTTGATGGTGAAATTCCTTGACTAGCTGCTGGTAGCAAGATAAGACAAACCCAGAGTTGCATACTTTCAGGATTCAACTCTTTTCTTATGGCTACCATGATTCCAGAACCATCTTTGGTTGGTGTCAGATTTTTCTCAGGAGATACCACAAGGAAAAGCAGAAAGAAAGACCTAGTGGACCAACGGTGGTTGTTGGATGATGAACGCCGACGATGGAGCTTCAATTTGCTTCACTTAAGGATTATGGTGGCACTGTGTGGACGCAACTGACTCTCGTGTGACCACTTTGGAAGGCCAAAACAGAAAGAGGGGCCTTCGACGAGACGACTGGTAGTATGATTCTAACGCCAGGAAGGTGGTAGTGCATGGACTGGAGTTTATCCTTGGTTCCAGTGGGGTTGGCCATTGCTCGAGGAAGCAATCCAAATCTGGTGGTTGCCAGACAAAACTATGACAATGAACATGGACAGACGGCAACGAACGGTGGTTGATGGTGAACAGAGGCAACGGACAGAGAAAACCAACACCAACAAAAGAAGCACATAACTGCTCACTAAGGTGCTCAGGTGTTGAAAGACAATTTTTGTATGGCTATCGGCGGGCAGCAGAGACAGTACTGGAAGAAAACTTAGAGAACCTGCTCCGATACTATGTTGAGATTAAAACAGAGAAATATATTTTTAGAAGCCCTCTCATAGTTCTATATTTATAAATATGAAGGTTGATACAATAGGAAGACTAAAAGGCAAAATGCTTTATCCTAGGCTACTTGGACAAAGAACTAGGGGCAAGTTATCTAACACTCAACCCCTACCTTAGACATAATGATTACATAAATTTACTAATTATTTCAACAAAAGTATTTCAAAAAAACTGAACAAAGCAAATAGCCAGGGAAAACGAAGACCAGATAGTACCTGGCAAAGATTGTAATCAATGAAGTTTTTGCCATTTACCAAGCATCTACAGAAAATATGCCATGCCTTTTCACATAGCAAACATCCAAATTTTTCCTTTGTTCTTTGTTCAACATTGGCAACATTTTTAACAACATTCTCAGGCAAAGAACTGAAAGCTGGCTGCTTTAAAAACCCACCCTGTGAGGAGAATTTTGGCATTCTCAAGACACTATGTGTATTATCGGGCAACTCTGGGGCAAGTAGACCCTCATCTTTGAGTAATTTGCATAAAAGAAACCAAAAATGATGTAGCGTATGAAACTTCAACAGAACAGAATCCAGTTGCACCTAACAGAGATACACACTCAGATTAGTAAAAATAGAAAAATAAAGGGAAACAGTCAAGACAAAATTCATTTAACACCACCAACACAATATTTCACAGGTATGAAGAAGCATGTCCACAAAATCAAAACACCAAATTCTTTGGACATAGAACAAACTAGTCGCCCGGTACAATAGGCATATGTAAGAACAGAAACAGACTTCTGTTGCAATTAAGTTGACTATTGCAGTTGCCTGGTGCATTTGATTAAAGGCGATTCTATGAAGAACTAAGCCACTAACATTCCTGCTTTAGATGCCAATATGTCAGTATTAGATATAATATTCTTTTGTTAATAGTCTGCTAAGTTTCTGTCAGCTATAACTGTGTAACAGACTGCCGAGTATCACTCATCAGTAGTCCATGGATACATGTATGTTGCATTTCCATTAGTAATCCATTATACAAGATTCAGAATCACTTTCCTGTCTCTTCTCTCTCAAAACTCCACTCATGATCACACATTTTCAACACAAATATGAGAATTTCCAGATATTTCTCATTGCATGTCCAAGATATATATTTTTTCTAGTCAGCTAAAAGAATAGAACCAACACCATACAACTTGAATACTTGAGCGAACACTTCCATAGTGATATACACTTAAAGGACACTACTGTGTGTGTGTCCAATTATTTTAACATTCAAAATACACATATTATACATAATAAAATCATAGTAGTAAAAAGCAGGTCATAACATAGTCGATGCCTCAGAAAGCTATACAAGGATAGAAAATAGTATATAATAGCCACTATTATTTTACATAGTTGTCTTATTATATAATATAAATATTTTTTATATAAAATTCATGTTAAGCATCACTCTGAACTACGACATCTCAACTAGGTTGACACCTCATAGTTCAACAATCATTTATCATCATATGGAAAAATTTATTGAAAAGAAAAAAAAAATAAAACAAAAACATGGGGAGGCCAAACCAAACCCATGTTCAAAAAAATTCAAGGCAAACTCCCTTAAAACTTATGCAAAACGAAAAAAAGGGAGTTAGAATCTATTATGAAAAATTCTAGCCTAATAATCTAAGAGACTCAAGCCATTGGATCTCATATCTTTTATCAATACCCAAATTTGTAAGCTTATCCACACAAGAATTTTCTTCGTGAATGGGTTACTTTGAACTCCATAGATAACTCTTTATGCATTTTCATCATCTCCCTCAAAGCGACTATGGAACAATTTGAGGAGATGAAAAGGCTTGACAAACCAAAGTAAAATCACATTCCAACCACACCAGCCTATAACCATCAACCAGAGATTTCTCAATAGCCCAAATAACACCCATAATATAAAGAATTTTGAGTACCCAAATAAGAAAAACTTCCAATAGCAAAGAACTTCAAAACAGTAAAACCTATCATATCATAGTTATTTTAGAAGAGTTACCAAACAGCCAGACATATCCCTACATAGTTTTTATAGCCAAATCTAAATCTATACTTTTTTGAAATCTAGAATAATTTCTCATTCTCCACAAGATCCATATAGAATAAATATATAATAAAAATTTATATATTAATATTTTTCTATTAAATATTATAATGTAGTCATAGTTTTATAATAGCATAATCTATGATTATTTACAGAAAAATAAGCAGCAAGAGAGGCCCTCCCCATTGTAGTTCCGTTTAGGGGTGCGGAGCTTCCAATTTGGGAGGCAGGCCAAACACCCACTCACACCCTAAAAAAAACCCTAGCCACTTTATCTTTATCCTATCAACTACCAACCCCTATCTCCATCATCTTCTTTCAGAAAAACAATGTTATTGCTACTGCAACTACAGAAAACGGCAGAAAAACCTAACTATATGCTGTCATCCAAAAAGTTAACACCTCTCCCTTGCATGCAGTTGCAGAACACTTTTGCCTTCCAAGAAAACTATAAAAACTCAACACCTCAGCAAAGAAATAATTCCACATGGTATTGGCTACAAAAACGGCTACAAAATGTATCATGACAGCTCTTTGGGGAGAAATAGGGCCTCACTCAACTACACTACCTTGTGATAATGGCACTATGACACTTAATAGACAACTATGAATAAATTATCAAAAATAATGACTTCATTATCTTGCTGTGAATCTAGCTATCAAAAAAATATAAAACTTAGAACATTGTTTTGAAAAGGAAACATTACCCATCTGTAAGGATACAACTCATCTTTTTGTTTTTAGATTTTTTTTTAGAAAAACAAGGTGCTTACATTTATAAAAGAATGGGTCTTCGTACTTTTTGAGAGATTTCCAAATATACAAATCTATACTATGAATATATATAGCATAGTATGTTGCTCATATTTAATTTTAACTGAGTTTTTATATTTTAAATACACACACATACACAGTATCTCAACTGCTACGTAACCCATGCTGGAGAATCACCATCCATGTGTAGGAGTCTCTAAGCTTCATACCAGGAGAATGCCGTTGAATGCATCTATTTGGCCCACAGTAAAAACTACAAGTGATACCGTTTCTATCTAAGGGACCATTCATGGTTATCTTAAGGGAGTTTAGGATTAGGTTCTCGGTATGCAGAGATAATAGATTGCACTGTTTCTGTTTTCAGCCATTTCGCTCCTGTTTTAGGGGATCCTTATCCTTCTCCTAAATCACAATTCTCCACTGAAATTGCCTTATGCACAAACACACAGCAACAAACGGCAGACATTAACTAAATTATTATCAAGAAAACATTTGCTAAAATTATTACCAGTTCCATAGCATGCTTGAGGCCCTGAATAGTTGCATACAAAGAGGTCTTGTGAGAACAGAGAAATTTCAATCCACTTGAAAGACCCCGAGTATCTGAAATTTGTTCTAACATAGACTTTCCAAATTGTCTAACATCCTGCACAGGAAAAACAAATAAGAAAAAACAATGAGATGATTCATCACATTCTAACAAGGGTAAGCATGATCTTCAAGTTTTAGGAAAATTTTACATCATTCGGGTCTAAGAGTGAAAGGATTAAGCTTTCACTCATCAATGGTTCCCAAGTCCACTGACTTCGAAGTTCTCCATGTCTTATCTGGACTAAAAAATGTGCAGTTAACCTGATGTGCAACTCCAGACAATTAGTCAAGAAACTAAAAATTAGCTTTTAACTTAGAACCAGAAAATGCACAAACTTTATAACATAATATAAAGATAAAGTGAAGTTGGTGTTAGGAACCTAATAAATGTTCTTAATAAAGGACGAGACATAGTCAACACTTCAACTGAGTTTTTTGATTTGTTTCCATCTCCACCATCATCAGTTCCAGTTGGAACCTTCCATTCAAATGAAGAGGAAATTTCTGGAGCATAAGATGAAAGGAAAGATCTGTTTGGAAGCACCATTTCTGCACTATTCTCATATTCTACCAAAGGAAAACGAGATCGTGCCCAGAAAACAGCTTTGGAAAATGAAATTGGAAGGACTGAGGGATTAATATCAACTAAAACGTCAACCCATAACATGGGAATGCATATCCACTGTCGGCAATCTTGAGAAGTTATTCCACTTTGAACTTTGAAGTGACTCCAAGAACTACTATTATCATTCTCTTTGCTGTCTGGAAAAGATGGCAGACAAATATCATCATTTTCATCATCCAACTTAATGACCTCATCTGTAATGCCACGATCAGTGCTCAGAGTTGTGCAGCAATTCAGCACTGAATGCAGTAATGCAGTAGCATCTGAAACTATGATGGTCTGTATAAGGTCAAATGCAGGTTGCCTTAAAGAACTGTGGAGCGAGGAGTCCTTCAGAGATGATACAAGGGAAGGCCCCCTGTCCAATACAAATATTGAGAAGTGATCAGGAAACTACACTAATGAAAAAAACAAACAGACCAAGTACCAGGGCACTACCTCTGGTCTTGTATGAGATATACACTGATTTCCCATGAAAATGAATGCCTTTATTGGGCTATTAACAGTATAAGTCACACAAAAAATTATTCCTACAATTAAAAGAATGTCATTAAATATAATCAGCACTTGAACCATTCAATTCTATTGATATTTTTTTTAATAAAACTTAAATTAATATTAAATATTAAAATTAGTCAAGTTAACTACTATTGTTGATTTTTGTAAGTTAGATATTTGTTTCTTAAAAGATAGATATTTGTTTCTTATATATAAGACAAGAAGTGGTGTATCATAAGTACATAGCTTTCCATTGAATCTCATTCATCATATATGTTGTGAATAGAGGTTTTTTAAAATAAAAATTATCTCTGTGGTCTCCTTAATATCAGTGTTGGAAGTCTCACATCAACTAGAAATAAAACCAATTTACAGTATATAAGTGGAGACAAACATTACTTTACAAATCAATTTTGTGAGGTTAAAATCCACTTCTTAACATAGTATCAAAAGCTATGGTTTAGAGTTTATTCTAACGAAGTTTGTTGTTTGTTGTTTAATGGATCTATAGTTTCACTCGTTATCGGGCTGCTACTGGACCACCCATTAATCTTTAGTCTCATGCTCGAGATATATATGTCTCGACGTGAGAAGGATGTGTTGGATGTTCCACATCGACTAGTATACCATAGTTGACTTGTATAGGTCACTTTTACTTCGTAAAGATGTGGGTTTCTCACTAGTGTACCAATTTCTCTTTATGTACAGTTGTCATTTTCTGTTACTCTTAACAGAAAACTAATCTCTGTAAAAAGTCAATGTACATAACATTCAAACTATTGTGAGATTAATAAAATTGTTTAGTTCCCTGTTCATTCTTTCTCTTTTCTCTCTATTTGTGTTATTTAAGATGGTATCTATAGCTTTTTCTTCACTAATCCAGATTTCGTCTCTATTTAAATTGACCATTGCTTTCACTTGCTTCTCCATCTGTCACAAGCACCGTCAACCAATGAATTGATTGGTTTGTATTCATCTTCTCCGCTCAAAGTTGTGTTCATCGTCACACTCATGTCATTTGTCTGATCAATCAGTTAATTCTTCTTCAAATGACTTCTACCTTGTTCGCATCATCTAATCAAACAGTTTAATCAGGGATTTGAGTCCTTTTTTGGTGAAAACACTGTTTCTTCGGTCAATTGATAAGGGATTTTCAAGTAGTATAAATTTGAGGACAAATTCTCTTTAAGAAGAAGGGTATGATAAAGGACTACATCATGAACATATGAGAAGAACTTGAGAAAGAATATTTGCAATTCAAAGAATTTATGACAAGATCAAATATCAAAACATGTATCCTTGAATCTTATAATGTTTCATGAAGGAGGGAATTTAAAGAATATGAAGATCATAAGCACAATTGAAAAACAATTTAGAAAATTAAATAAATTGTAATTTTATTTTAATTTTACAAAATGTTAAATTCACTAGACGAACCAGGTTGTGTTCGTTGGGCGAGCAAGTCTCGCTAGACAAAAGACAGCATCTATAATTTTCAATTTTTGTTATTTTTATGTGTTTTGAGTTTTAGGCTTTATTTTTAGGTTTCTAGGTTTTGTTAAACTTATGTACCTATTTATAGAGGTACTAAAAACATAATGTAAATATTTTGAGTCATATTACATACATTTACATTCTTTGAGTGAGGATTCTCTTGGTTATTAGATTAGAACTTTGATTCTTATCAAAGATTAACATCTTTGTGGCAAATCTTCACTTGACTTATCAATATGCTAGATTGTGACGTTGTCATCCCTATCTTATTCTGCATTCTTCTCTGATTTATTTTATTGTGTCTCTTAGGGATTCAAATTCGAAAAAGATTGTACTCTTTCCTGGACAGGATCGTATCATCAATTCTCTCTGATTTAATGTATGTGTTCAACTTATGTGTGTTACTATTTAATCGGTGACTCCTTGTGTTCTCTCGTCCTATCAACTTAATTGTCTTCATTTTGATTATCTAACTTACAGTTGAGGTTCATCAAGTTTCTGCAAGCTTTTTCTAGTTTGCTGGTTCACTTTCACTCAAGTGTATTTCTGTTTCTCGCTTAGCATATTTTATATCTCGACATAATAAGATGAATCATTATACCCTAAATTATAACAACTTATGGTTTTACCACTAGAGAAATAATTTTACGAAAATAAAAATCGTGCACCAACCTTGCTTTGTATTTGCATCTAATAACTTGTCTATTAGGAGGTCAAGAAACTAAATCCCATGTATTTCGCTTCAAAAGTGCATCATATTTTGGATGCATTGCAGCAAGCCAATTAGCTTCATCAAGTCCTTCCTTAATTGTTTTAGGTTCTAAATGAGCAAGGAACAAGGAAGGATGAATTCTGGACTGATGAATTCCAGAGATAGACTGAGTCTGCACAGGAGGGGATTGACAATTGGAACTCGAATAGGGACAAAAGCAGACTCATAAGAGGATGGATTGCGGATGATAGGTGGTGTGTTAGAAGGTTCAAATTGTGACAAGATATTTAACAATGCTTGCACTCAACAACTTCGTTTAGGTGATGTGTATGGACCTGTGGGGCTAGATAAATCTATGAACAATGCCAAAATCATTAAAACGATGTGTAAAAGGCTTAAATTTATTGCCCAATTTGTTTTTAAGTGCTTTGATTGGTTTGTTCAGTTCTAGATCAATTAGTGATTTGACTTGTTTAAACATGGAAATTATTTCAAATTTATGTTTGACAAAAAAGATAGGCAAATTAACTAACTCTTACAAGTTGCTGACTCCAGAATTTGAGTGCTCAACACTTATACATGAGTACAGACAACTGTCTAATACTAAGTCCACATTTAATAAGTTTCATTTGAACACATAAAAAGAAGGGGTTCTGACTTCTTACCACATATGTGCACACTCAAAGGGAGGACAAGGCGGGTTCATCTTGTAACCTCGGTGTACAATATGAAGCGCTATCTGCAAAGACAATCTTATATATAGCATTATACCAATGGTGATAAGCCAAAACAATTTGCAGCATCAATTAAAAAAGCCGAATAGATCACACATTTATATTCATCGATCATGCAAAAATCTAAATGTAATAACCTGACATGCCAATTTCCTTGTTAGAACGCTGAAGTTACTGCTCACTGGCACTTGATGGAGCAAAAAATAGAGAAAATACCTACGCTGCTTTTCAAGCTCTCCATCTTGCAAAGCTTCAAGAGACTGTAAATGGGATGAAATATCTCAATAATGTCAATACAAGAACAACCCTCCTTCTCCAAATACACGTGCAACAAAGAAACAAATCAAATCACCATCCATACATGCCTGTAGAAAAGGTTGGAATAGACCAAAAATATCTTTATGGATTTTCTCATTGCAAGTATGGAAGCATTGACCAATTAGAGTGTTGCGCATTACACTTGGAGACAATGTAGACCTTAACCAAAGCTTACAACCTCAAACCAAGCCAAAACAACAAAACAAAAAGTCAGCAAAAGAAATATATATGAAATAAAGAACAGGGAAATGGAAAGGAAAAACAACATACCAAGCATTTCAAAGAGGAGTCTCAAGCAAGTAACGGCGTGTGAAAATTCAAGTGAATCACCACTAATATGATTGAGTACAATATCGACAAAAAACGGATACCGTTCCAATATCCCTTCTTCAAAAGTTGAAGGGTCCAAGAAGCCAAGCCTTCACAAAGCATACATAATGATGTAGCATGAAAATATTAGTGAAAAACATACTGAGCTAAAGATTGATGCTACCAAATTCAAACACACTTCTTACAGTGATTTGATACCAATCCATAAAGACACACGATCCAATTGAGTTCTTGGTGTTGAGGTCTCCAAAGCCACTGGTAAAGCATCTGCCTCTAAACAGCCAATAAATTTCTTAAGCAATGGCTGCAAAGGTTCCAAGTCTGTTGCTCTCCTACACAGAAGCAAACATTGATCATATCAAAATGGAAAAAAGAAAAAGGCTTTTGACACCAGAAAACTCAATGAGAACATGGTGATGAAGAATGGATGAGTAAAGAGGCTCATATCTATGATTTCAATAGTGATATGGCATATGCTACTATGTGCCTTCCATGTCTTTCTCTATAACAGAACAGCCTTGTTTTTAGACAAGATAAAGATATCCATATGTACTTTTAGGAGGAATTTACAGATGCAGAGAATTTCCTTTTACAAAACCCAAGTTCAGTGGAACATCATCAACTTAAACGTGAAATCACAATCGGTGAAACTGAAGAACTTTCTGGCCAACCAACAATAAGTACCTGATTTTGCCCATTGATCCTGCTAAACGATATCCAACAGAACGAACGCTTCTCTTGCAAAATAGTAGTGCATAAACTCCCTAGAAGAAAATGGGTTCACCATTTAACACGCTGTAACAGAGAATCTGCTAGCAGTAATACACAGCGAGTACCAGAAATAAAACACACCGGAAATTGTTGATGCCCAGACAAAGCCAACTCATGCTTATTGTCGATAGCTTCAACAAACAACTCAAACTCAGTGAATAGAGACTCAAAATCTAAGAGGAATGGGAACATCAACACCTGTGTGAAATGTGAAAAGAGGAAAATAAGCATATAAACTCTAAACTTCAATTTAGAAAATTCATTCATAAAGAAAGTAGAATGAAACTAGTTACAACTACTACGACTTAAAATATCATAAGAGAAATACTATTTTAGCAACAAATAAAACTCACCATGTGTTAGGGACCTTGAAACAGAGATGAGAAAGCAAGATAGAGAAAAACCAGAGATAAACTCACAAACTGAACTAGTCACTATCAGAGGCGCAAATGGCAACGTTTACAAAGGAAAATCTCCCTTTCTCACAGGGTTCTCCCCGTCACAAACACCAACTCAAAAAACTCTCCCTCAACATCCCACAAGATAAGAATATATAGACTTCCTCAGAAAGTCTCCCCCAGTAACAACTAACAATTTTACTAATTTTATCTTTAAATTTCTTCCTAACCCTCTCGTTATTTCCCTGCCTAACACTGTCCCAGTACAAAAATAAACAATTTGCTCTTCTCAATGAGATTTTCAATTCATCAAGTAGTGAAATTTTCAGCACAAAAACATATATGTAATAAAATACCATGGAAAACAGAAAACATATTTAGATGGAAAAATACAGTTAAAATATTTCTTGTACTAATTCAGAAGCAACAAAAATATCTGCATATAAAGAGAAATCGTCAGATGCAACCCAATAAATAGAGTCTAAAACATTATATCAACCATACGGACACAGAAAACACACCTCATACAAAACATTAACAACTTCTGCATTATCGCAGGCAGGATCATACATTTCCCCTGCTATTTTTCTATTCACATCCCTCAGACGTAATGTCACCCTTTCACAATCAAGCTTCTGCAAGACATCGAGAAGAGGACCAATAGAACTAGACTCATACTCCGTGTTATACATGTGTTGGGCTTGATGATGCTGAGAAATGCATTGAAGGCAAAGACCCATTTCATCAGATATTCTCTTCCATAACAGCCTCAGAGGTGAATCTTGACAATCATTTTTGAAGTAATTGTAAAAAGTCTCCAAAAGCGGTCCCATTATATCCGAAAAGCCACACCAAATATGACTTCCACCAGGCAAACAAATTAGAAAATTATATGCATCTGCAAACCTGGCAATAATTACAGTCATTGTGGAAACTACACCAAGGCTCATTAGATATGAAACCAGTTAGGCAACACTACCTCAGTAACAGCATAACTAGTTTTTTTTTTTCATGTAGAATAAAAGAATAACATAATCTAAAGATACTCACAAGTATGACTGACAATTATGTTTCATAATCATTTATTTATTTCCATACTTGTTCTTTAAACTCACCGTTTTATCAAGTGCTTGTACTGAGGATATGAGCAATATGTATAATGCATAAGCAACAGACACAGTAAACATCTGCTTTAGTATTATCACTCTAAACCTATTTTGCTTTCAGCAACAAATCAAAATAATTCCCAGTAAAACTAAAGTCGAAATTCGAGGGGAACCAAACATTTTGCAATTCCATTATAATTAAAACGAAGAACTGGTTGTTGACTATAATTTGGATTCGTTCTGGCGCTGAAAATGAAAAAGGGGGAAAAAGCGATAACCATTGTTGTTTGAGGAGGTGGAGGTTACGACTCTTGGAGGAATCAACATGATCGTCATCGTCGTTCTCCTCTTCTTCCGCGATGCCTCTCCAACGGTCCAGTAGTTCCCGCCTACCAGCAAGTTTGTTCGCCATTACCATTGATATGGCAGGGTTTATCCTGCAGATTTTAAATCATATAAATATTAAGATTACGATGATGTCTATCACGCTAATTTCAAAACGCGACCTCCTTGAGACTGGACTGCAAAAGATTAGGGTGAAGGCAGGGTTTTTTATCTTCACTTGTTACATTCTATTCGCGCGCTACGTAAATGAATTGTGTATTTTTCTCATTGTTCAATTGTTGAATTATTAATTTTCTTTTCAAAAGAAATATTAAATTTATTATATACTACTTTGAAACTTTCAAGTCTCGCATAAAAACAATTTAACCATTGCCTTTTCATGTGAATATTTTGGATTTTGTTTTAGAAATTGCAATGCGCGTTGCACGATTTGGTCCTGTGAGTTAATTTTGTTGGCTAATTTTGTATAACGATTAGTTTGCGATTAAATTTACATAAACATAAACTTTATATAAATATTGTAATAATGATTGACATTTTTATTTATCGGATTAGCCTGGTTGTAATAAAATCAAGGGTTAAATATGTTTTTAGTCCCTAAACTATTGGCCGTTTCTGGTTTTCGTCCATCTTTCAAAGTAAGGTACAATTTAGTCCTCATTCTTTTCGAAATGTTCGTTTTAGTCCTCGAAAACTAAACACTGTTTAAAAATTTGGTCCTAATTTAGCAACAAATGAGGACTGAAACCAAAATTCCGAGGACTAAAACGAACGTTTCGAAAAGAATGAGGACCAAATTGTACCTTACTTTGAAAGAGGGACGAAAACCAGAAACGACCAATACTTTAGGGACTAAAAACATATTTAACCCTAAAATCAAAACCAAATAAATATGTGAAAATTAATCATTTCATTAATAAGAAGATATATAAATAAATGAGTGTGTAACCTATAGAAAAATTATAATTATTAATCAATAATAAATCAAATAATGTATAAAGTAAAAATGTTTGAAATAAACTACGTCACATGGTCTCCAACTTTTCTTTAAGTACTCAAAGGTATAATACCACAATAACATTTAGCATGGCAATAATAGATAGGATCAGGTTTGAAATTTTCAATTTCATCATATATGATTATTAGTTTTGTGAAGTATTCAATTACCGTAAAATCTCATTGTTGCGTTGAAGTTATTCCATTTTTTCTTCTGCATCCACAATATGCTCTGAAAAATGGAAGGTGAGATCATGAAACAACCATATTATTGGATCGTTTCCAAACCCAGTAAGAAGCGTTTATATCATTGAACGACTCCATCGATGGTAATTGTTGGTATCACTGGCGAAACCAAGGGTGTTGCATCCCTTTCACTTGGAAGAAGATATAGGAAACTATATTAACAGAAAAAACAAAGTTATAGAAGTTTCTTTACTCGTGATGAGAAAGAACAAGAAAAACAAGAAAGAAACTTGGAAAAGAAAGAAAGGAAAAGAATCAAATATGCGCAGTAGAGCACTTCAAAAGAAGTGTTCTTATACCACCATCTTAGACGCCTTTTGAAGCCATGAAACAACAAATACGAAATGACTATGAGGTATAGAGAAAGAAACCAATGCGTGAGAAAAGAGAGAATGAGAAAAGAAGATGAAAAGGAAAATGTATTATTTAATTTTGTTGAATGTATCTTACAGAAAAGACAAGAGGTATATATATAAACTAAGAAGGGGTTGCATGAGATAACAAAAGTTACATGTAAACGCTATAAAAATAATACTTTCGCACATATTAAAATTTCCATTTGTTACTTTTTATTCTATTCTTTATTAAAAAAATACAAAAAAATTATATGACCATTTTATTTTTGTATTGAATGTCAAATTAATATAAAAATATATCGCCGCGTAATATTAATCCAAACGCTCGCACTAAACAATGCACGACGTATACGTTGAGCGGTTTATTACCAACTTTTTGTGTTCAATATTTTGAGAAGCCTATAAATATTTTAACATTTATTTCCAAACATCATTTTATTATTAATCCTTGACAAAGTGTTTGACAATACAAAAATATAATAGTTATTAGAAGTCAAAAGTTGTTAAACGAATTACCAAAGAATGTATTTTGATTTCACTAGATAAAATATTTGTGATAAAATTATCATCTATTATTTGTAATATAACTTTTGCCTGTGAAACATAAAATAATTACAGGTTTCGTTCGATTCGTCCTTTAACTTTTACATCTTGTATCATAAGAAGCATTATTATTTTATCACGCATTAAGTAAGTAGGAGGCGTCAATTTGTTACGAATTATTTTTTAGTATTATTTTGATATTCAAATTTTTTTTATACATATTTAATATTTATTATTTTACTTTTTAATTCCTCGTTTTTCTTACAAATATAAAAATTATTTTTTTAATAATAAAAAGTGAGTTGTCTGATACATCTCTAGCGTAAAAATACATTTGTCTTTTTAAGTAGTATTTGATAAATACACAGTTTTGATGTGTGTAATTTTTAGAACCATACAATAGAGGATACCGCTCTGCCATTGAGATGGTTGGTGGTGTTGTTGTAAGTGGAAGTGGAGCGGTGAGGGTGAGCAAGCACTGGTGTTGATCAGAAGTGAATAGTCTGAATCAAATTGAGAGCAGATGTCATATTGTTGGCACAGTTTGGGTCTTGTGCCAATTTCACAATCCCAAACTCTGTTTTCTTTTTCACAAACACATGGTATCTTCGCGAGGCAGAGGGTTCCTTGTTCACTGCTTCAGGAAATGTCCGTGGTGGAACCATCCTCACAATACCAGTATCAACAAAACTACCTTACAAGTATAAGTAGGAATCCCAGTGTCGGAAGGGATGATGATGGAGACGAAGAAGAAGGAATTTCTAAAATAGGAGTGCCAAGGCAGAAACACATCCCTGTTTCCAAGTCCCAGCTCTTGGATGCCATCCTCTCTATCATGTTTAACCAATCCCAAGATGTTTCCCATCACTTTCGCCTTCTCACCTCGTAAGTCTCATAACACATCACTTCTATAGCATCCTTGTCTTTATATCTATATGCTTCTCTATGCATCTCATTTCATTCTCAACTGGAGAGCCAGCGGAGTGAAACATGTTCTGTGTTTCTTCACACTTTAATTCTGAACAGATGCTTAGACTCCATACTTCACGCTGAGCACAAAAGCATTTTAGAAGAGATGCGTTCCGATTATCAACTTGCCAATTCACTCCAAACACACAGTTCACTGACACAACTGGTGAATATACCCAATGTGAATACCAAGGACTCGGACATGCTTACTGATGACAATGACACTATTGCAATTCAGGAAGACGCCAACCTCTATGACGACCAGCAGGATCAGCGGGAAAAGTCTGTGCTCCCTTACCCTGCTTTGGACCTCACTGCTCTTTTACGATCTCTCGACATAGCATCTACCAAGAAAGATTATGATAGTGGTGGCTCCAGGTTTGTCTCAACACACACGCCATTATCATTATGCTCCTTTCCAATTAATATGCGCCAAACACTTCACTTCATTTAATTCAATTCACCATCTATTGATCAAAATAGAATGAAAAACTGTACTACCAAGTTCTGCTTTGTACAGTTTGAAATTACAGAGTACAGACATCATTAATGATGATGAGACCTCTTAGGATGATCACAGGTTGGAAAGGATGAGTACTTGGTGTCTTTCAAATGGCTTAATTTTCATTTTACTAATCCTATTTTTTTCCCATAAAAGGTTCATTCTAATTTCTAATTAGGTGCTATTCCAAATTTTCTGACAGGGTCACCATTGGTACTCGTTTCCAACATGCTTTCATGAAGCTTCTTTCAGATGCACAATTTGAAGAACTATCAGCTAGGGATCTGATGTTAACGTCTGCATTGAACACAGATTATCTCCTTACCTTGCCAATATATGTTGATTGGAAAAGAGCATATGAGTCTAATGCCATAATATTTAGGTAATTACTAAATTTCATATTGAATTTTGTATCAAATTTTAAAAAATTATTCTTTAATACTTTATGTGCATATTTATCATTTTAGCTCATAAAAGGGTTACATCAAGTATGGTTATATAATGCTAGGGATTTTTAAATGATAGTTTCAAAATAAATGCTTCAAACAATTAAGTGAATATCCTTCTGTATGATTGATTCCTGATGAGATAAATAATAGTCTTAACTTCTGTTTGCTTTATGTTTTTTAATTGTAGCATAGTTACACTCTTCTCATCTTCTTTAGGATCCCAACTCAAGGGTTGATTGTTGCAATTTTTTTTATTGTTTTTCTTCAAGCTCAAAGGGCCCTTGCATGAAGAGTTGTGTTAGAAGTATAATATAAAACATTCATGTGTTTTCTACAAATACCTTAAGCTTTTGAGGTAGTTGACTCGTGAAAAAATTATTATTATTATTAATATTTTTGTGATTGTTTTTTAGTGCATATTGCCTATCATATGTTTCCAATTGGTCGCTAAGGCTTATGGATGACAATGGGATGGAGCGGTTGCTGGTTTAACTATATTGTCCTTGTCCCCGAAGTAAAACACTTATACTCATATTTGCTTTTTATATTTGACAAGTATGTAAGGAAACATGTTATCAATAATTCAATGCCAAAAAGACACATTTTCATCTCTTCATTGATAGACAACAATTAAGAAATTATCATTACATAAATTTCAAAATTGAGTACAAAATAAACCAAGAGTATTTTTGTAATTTAAAATGAGAATGTGTATGAGAATAGGGAGAGGGTGAATATATACATACCCATCCCGTACATGATTTAAAAAATCGAGTATTACCTTGCTAGTCAATATGGGTATTTCATGTCAACATTGGAACAAGTTTGGACAATACTTACTGATACAAATTTGTTTGTCATCCCTTCTAGAGCTTTTGGCTTGGGTAACATTTTAGATGGAAGGATTAATATCTCTGTTGGTGGATGTGAACTTAAGTAATGCAAAATATATAAATTAACATATTTCTTGTGTTATTTAATAAAAATGTATTGTATATTTTTTATTGTAGGCGTGGTTATGCAACTGAGAAGCAGAAGGGCTTGTTAATTGTTGAAAAACTGGATTACTTACAGTCTAAGATTCTGCGAGGAACCTTCTTTGTTATATCAAAACCACTAAAAAAACTTGGCTCCTGGATCAGTGAGGTTAAATTTCTGTGGCAGTTCCTTCATTTACCTCTTTTCTA